AATAATGAAACTTGCCTAATGGTGTTAAGCAATCACCAAGAGGACTTCAGGAAATCATCCTTATCATCCTTATTGATCACAGGCACAATGGTCAAGGCCACAATGAAATCTTCATACCCCGTAAAAGTTAATGGAAGTTAGCTATTAAATTTGTACATATGATTGTGTTGTCTTCAGCTATATAAAAGAGAGGCATATGGACAGAGCTACTCTTTGAACTGTCTGATCTTCACCCTTGAAAAATCGAGCTGTATAATACTGTTAGAGCACCACTGACATCTCCCTCAGGTAAGATACAAACCTGGTTTATATGGTATGCAGTGTGTAGCTATATTGGAGATTAAAAATACATTTTTCATATTTTTAAAAGTACTCTTGCACAAACTAGAGTGTACAAATCTGTTGTGGAATGGCCTGCAACAGACCTAAAGTGTTAAGCCAATCAGAAATCTGGGGGAAAGGAAGTGCTGAGATGTTTGGTTGATGCTGATATGGACACAATCCCAAATGCTACCCAATGCTCTGTGCCACTCAGGGAATTTGAGATTCTCTTGGGCATAACCCCCCAAACAGCGTTTGGGCTCTTTTCCCAATGATGAGTAGCCCAGGAGAGGTGCAGCCCAGGAACATGGATGGGGTGCCAATGTTCCATGGACACTAGCCCAAGCTGTATCAGCGGTTCAAAGAGAGTGCCACAGCTTGCACTTCTTGGAAGAGATGAACAAAAGTAGTTTTCTAGTTCATGGTTAGATGATAAGAAGCAGTGACAGATATTGCTGGTCAAAATAATGGGGGAATGTATCACTTGGCCATTTAAGCTGCAAACCTATGCTCACTTTTCTGGGAGTGAACTCAGTGGAACATCTTCCTGGACCGCTTGGGGGACCCCTGTGGTTATGCTAAGAGAAGACATTATGCTGGGAGAGATTAAAACTGATCCATGCACTAGAAATTAAAATAAAGTTGCAATCTTAGGCATGGGTACTTGGAAGTTAGCTCCATCAATCTTAATATGGCTTACACTTCAGAGAAAATATTTTAGGATGGTAATTTCCATGTGAAGTATACAACTATTTTTCTTTCTGAAATCTTACATGTGGGACAAACTCACACGCACACCCTTCTTCAGAAATGCTCTTTGCCCATTCCATGTTCCACTTCAATATTTTTTCTAGTGCTACCACCAAATCCTATTACCCATGTGAAGCTCGCAGGCACACCTGAAGAAGTAATTTTCATTACAGCCATGCATTTTCTAAACTGGAGGAAAGAAGGAACAATAATGGGGATATAAAGTCTAGGGATTCTACACAGCTACTATGATCTGACTTGATAGGAAGATAAGCATTAGAATGACTATACATTTCTCAAAATTCCTTTTTAAACAGTAACTGGAAAAACTACTTGATATACAAAGCCATATAAAATAATAAATTATTGTGTGCCTTTTAAATAACGTTTTCCTTCCAGATTCTCAACTCAAATTGTCTGTAGTGGCTAAATATGGTCAACGTACAGATATTGTAATCTTTGTTGTGTGAAACTTTACATATAGCTTAATAGCTAACTGACAGATGTCCCTATTAAATGAGAGAAGAGCTAAAACAGTCATCAAAATACATTGTCCTTTTTATACAAAGTTGGACTTGTACAAGCACTTTTCCAAGATAATACAGGAGCAGTAGAACAAAAATGCATCAAATCTGTCTTCTCTTCTGCAGCTACAGGACTTCTGTGTCCAACACTAACTAAAATCCAGGCAGCAATGAGAAATATTTTAGAGCAATAAACAGAGCAGACAAAAAAGAAGTGAGGAAACCATGTTTAAAAATAATTAACAAAATATGAGGAGGCTTTACATCTGTACTTTTTCAAGTACTGCCTGGAACTAAGCAAACAGAGCAATTAGTCAAAGTGTTGTGTAAGGATACAGCACTAAATAGTTTCAACATTTTGGGGGAGGGGGAAAAAAGGGCTGTGAGCAGAAAGTACTTTGCATAGAAAGGAGTATTAAAGAACTACAGCTAGTGGATGAAAATGTAAGGGACATATTTCCAAGTAAGGCAGGGATAAAATCTGGGACATGTTTTCAGTACTTTGCATTCATCTTTGTCTCTCACACTGAAAGTCCTTGACAAAGCTCGTGTGTGTGTGTGTGTGTGTGTGTGTGTGTGTGTGTGTGTGTGTGTGTGTCTCACAAAATTATTTGACCCTTTGTCTCAAAAATATTCATTTCATTGGACCTTTGTCCAGAGGCAGTTCTCTGAATCAGTTCTCAGCCAAGAAAGAACATTGGGTGCTACCTTTTTCTCAGTGGAGAGTGTGCTTTTCTAGTTTTTCTCTTCACAAAGCACTCTGAATATTTTTCTCAGTGAAATGCCTAAACGTTCAACAGCCTCTTTGTTGGTTCTGAGGACAAATTGCAGTGGATGAAGGAAAAAAAGAATAAGGATTAAGCACCAAAAAGCCACTTCAATTACTCTTCACATTCATGTAGTCTCATTGAAGTGAATCCTTCTTTAATTCCCTTAATTAAATATGAATTAATTAAGATACTTTCCTTCCTTCCATTTAGATCTGGTGGTCAGCAAGGAGACTGGAATTTCTAACTGTCAAAATAGGAGCACACAGGTAAATTGTCTCAGTGTTCCCCAACAAAGTTCTGAAAAAATATAGACAAGTGTCACTACACTAAATTAAAACTCAACAAAACACAATTCTCATTTTCATTTTTAGCACAGTAAAATTATGATAATGTGAGCTCTGTTTACTAGTGATAAAGTAAGTTCTGAATGCACTTCATATTTGGGGGGAAAATAGGCTTCAAATCCTTCTTCAAACTTGCTATCTGTAAACATATTCAAAAGAAGCACTTGCTGTAGTAAGAGAAAGGAGACATATAAAAATGAGCTTCCTTCAACTGACACCTAAGTTAATCCCACTGAAAAATGTACTGAAGAATATGATTGGGGGCAGGAGTGTGAGATGCACTCTTTAATTATTATATATTGTAATATATAATAATTAAAGGAAAAGGAATCTAGTTACGAAGAATAGCATAGTGTTAAGTCTGTTAATGCATATTCTTCCATTTCACAGGTTGCTAACTGGTATAATAAAGTGGCTGTAATGACAATTATAAAAGGAACATGGAAAATGTGTCAATATTATCTATCTATCTATCTATTTATTTATTTAAAACATTTCTATGCTGCCCCCATAGCAACAAAGCCTTGGGGCGGCTCACAACAGACATAAAAATACAATCAATAATTTAAAAACTGGTACCATCTCAGCTATATATTAAAATCTATAAATACAATAATAATAAATTAACAGTTAAAATAACTTTTAAATAAAAAGGTCTCCGCCTGGCGCC